CAAAAAACCAGGAGTTTATTACTGATGCTGGAACTAATTCTATACAGGGTATGGGAAGTAGATAGGAGTATATGCTGCACTGATGGAATATCAAGCTCTGTTGGTATCTGGACAGGAGAAGTGCTGTGGATCAGATATTCCAGTCCATTTTGAGGGCTGCTCTCAGTTTTATGGACACTACAGGCACATATTCAGAGTCACACCAAAGGTTCTTAGCAAATCTCTAAGCCAGGTACATTCTGAACATCTGAAGCATTTTGCTGAATTCATTTCTTGAAATCATTCAATAGTTGCTGTTCATTCTGACAAATAAAAAACACAAAATGAAGCAATGTTCTGCCTCTTTGGTCTAAGATCTCCTGTATTTAAGGTTGGATCATTCAGTTTAATAAATGTATGTACATGATGTTTGTGTTATATAGAAAGATGCCCAAATGGATCTTTAGATCCAAATCTCCCCAAATGTGGAAAAAAGAAAAGCACTTCAACTGATCATCTCTTACTGAAAAAAAAAAAAAAATATGAAGATGAGTTTGAGATTTGGAATAACACTAGTGCTCCAAACTTTAGGTTTCATGTTGAGCTGACACTGGGCTGGCCTTGCTGCTTTGCTAGAATAAGGAGAGTTTTATTAACTCCGAGTTCATTGAACCTTTTCTGCTTTTTACTCTTTCTCATTTTAGTGCACATCTCTACCCCCAGACCTGAAAAAGGATTAAAATGCCAGATAGGAGACAGATCACTCAGCATTTCTAATCACTCACCAGAAATCTCAAGATACATAGTTCTCACAAGATCTTCTACTCTTTATAGACCATAAAAGGCTCAGATAACCTTCTAAAATCCACTCTGATCTCTTTAGTCATTAAAAAGTAAGTTCTCACTGAGAATCTAAAGTAGGCTCCTACTGCAGTGATCACATTCAATCAATCCAATTTCACTCCACTGCTTCAGAAATTATTTATGCATTCATTCACTGGAAGCAACAGAAGTCTTAATTCAAAACAATATTCTGACAATTGAAAAAGGGAAGGGAATTGCAAAAGAAAAAAAAGGCCCTGGAGTACTGCAGGGAAACATTTCCATACATATTATATCATCATTTCAGAGAGTTATAGGCATTTTCTTTGTAACTCTTTTTCATATTCATGTTTCAGAAATGCACCAGAGCAGCTGTCCTGTCATTGTGAGTGGAAGAATGTGCTCACCTGCTCAGCTTCCCTGAGAAGCAGACAAATACTGAATCATCTAAACTGCAAACTGGTACGTTTACTGTTGCATTTTCCATTACCTTCACAACTGTAAAAGTGAATTTTAAATAAAGCAAGTGACTGGCTTGCTTTCAGGGAGCTTTCTGGAAATTCCAATCTTGGTAAATAAGAACTCCTGGTGCATGTTTTCCTGCAAGGTAAGTCTGGTAGAAAGAGCCAATTAGTTGCTAGCTGCCAAATTGCTTAGTGGCATTAGTGTGACTACTTCATGTCCTATTTATCTGTCTGTGATAAAAACTTCTGGCCTTGCTGAAGAAGTTGATGCTTTCAAAATTCCAGCCTTTGCCTTTTTTCAATGAATAGTTGTTATTTAAATAAGAGGAGATATTATTTATCTGCTCTTTATAGAGAGACACTACATTTCTGGTCCTGGGCACAGTCTGCCTTTTCAGTACACTCTGTACAGCACCTAACACACAGCTCCCTATGCTGCTAAAGATAATAAATGTAGGAAGATTGTGTCATGTCTTGAAGAGTGATGTTTTTACCAACTGATCAGTCTGCAGCTTAATTTGGGGTAACTGAACATAGATCAAATGATCTACTCTGAGAGGGAACAGCTTCTGCAAACACACAGAATCTTCTATTAGCATCTGTGTGTGGATGGCAGACAGTAAAAAGCCACAAACCACTACAATGTGCTTGTAGGAACTTTCATTTCTTTCTGTGGCATAATGAAGCACAACCACACCTACATCCGCACTCAGAACACTCTGCAGTCCAGAGGGGGAAAAAATCAGACATTTGCTGAAGGTCTTTATTTTATGAGTTAGAGGTGACTTTTGATTTTGATCAATTAAGCTGAACATTTTAAGAAAAGGAGTTAAAAAGCAAGCGGGAGGAAGAGGGATGTGGAGCTTTCACAGTCCTTGTGGGCTGTGATCCTGGTTGTGTGCAGAAACAGTGGCATCTAGTGGGCAGCTCCTCAGCTTGGGAGAAGCACTGGATGTAAAACAGGTCAATGATTGGAGATTATAATTATGCTTATCATGGATGAAAGGTTTTCCCAGGTCTGTTTTAATCCTCTTTGAAAGCATTTGGAAGACAACTATTTTTCCAGCTTTCTCACCTTCAGTATACAACTTTCAGAATGCTTGTTCTTCTGGTTTGCAGGCATATAGGAAAGTCCAGCATTTTCCCCTGAGAGTTTAAACATGGACAAAAACAAACCTGCAACTAATCCTTGAACGCATTCAATCTAGTTCAACTATAGAGGAATTCAAGCACAGCAGAGCTTTGGAGGAAAGATCTATGTAGAGGAAGAGAATAAAAACAAACTGAAGGACTCTGAAAAAAAGCTTAATTACATAATTCTGTAGCTATAACTAAGTATATTTATGCAGTGTTCGATTTTTATGCAAATTATCTATGAGATTTTTTCACTGCTGAGTCACAATAAATTCTTGAGCTAATTTATTTGTACCTGATCCTAAGATCCTGTTCTTTTGTTAGGTCCCTGGATTCTGTGTAAAACACTGTGTGTATTTTATGGACCTACAGAAATACACAGAATAAGCAGGATGAGGGGTTGCTGCATCCATGGCAATAGTCTAAAGCAGTCACACGCCTTCACTCTCTCTTTAGCTTTCAGTGTTTGCCAGTGATGAGCAAACTTATTAAAGTCTGTTTTGCTGGGCTTCTCTTCTCTGGCTGCCTCTCCCATAGGCTGGAGGGTGTTTCTGTGTTTACTTGCAAAATTAATTTGCATTAAGAGTTCACTTGGCTTCTTAAACCTGGCAGAAGAGCTGGATGTCTTAAAAAGCAATAACTTGGCTATGTTCTTCATGATCACAGGATTCCAGAGGCACTCAGGGTTTAGTCTAGGTTTCTTTTCTTAACTTCAACATTTTTATTCATTCTCCTTTCCTTCACACTTTTTTTATTCTCCCTTTATTCACTATGTTTCAAACTTTCCTCTATGGTGTCTGCTGCTTTTCTTGCCTTGAGGGACCAGGAGGTTCTTCAGTTCTAGCCCAGAACAGAAGGGTAGATACGTATAAGAGAGATGGGTTTGATTTGAACATGACTGCAAATATGAGTTGGCTCCTTTGCCCATCAGCCTGACACCAATGTGGGCTAAAGGCTTTTAACATTACATATAATTCCTTCCCTTATGAAGTGGCAGAGAATGTGAATCAGTGATCAGGAAGTACTTCACCTTTCTATATTTCTAGTTTTCTCCTTGTTAATTAGACTTAATAATACTTAACTTTTCATTGGAGATACCTACATGAGATCCTTCCACTCTCATGTGGAAAAGCAAACTTCAAAGCAATGAACAATCTCTGTTCCATGTTTGCTTTAGGATTATCTCAGTGTTACTGAGAAGAACTGAGTAGAACCTTCTTCTTAACCTTCCCTGAGTATAACTAGGTGGGAGTTCTTTTATTTCAAAGAAGTACTTGAAAATTGACTTTCACAGGGTGAAAGTTGACATAATTGTCATCAAATGAATTTTTCACTGTGCAAATAAAAACAGAGACAGGATTTCACCTAATGACTTTAACTCAGGGATATGCAAATTTAGATCTCTCTGTTCAGAGAGTTATGAATGAAGCACACAATAGCAGCCTCATTATACTTTTTCACACTCGCAGATTTAATCTATGATTTATCTTGGCAGTAGGGGAAAGCAAGCCTTTGATGCTTTGAGATTTAAATTATTTCCTTGGAGTCATCTAGGAGAGCTGTTTTACTGGAAGGAAAGTATACCAGAAAAACTGTTGATCTATTTCAGTCTATCAAAAGCTCTGTAGCACTAATTATCTTATAGATATTCATAAAATTGTGGTTTATTTTGCTCCCAGTCCTCAGGTTTCAAATGTGACTGCAGTGAGGAGCTCTGAAAGTTATCTTGCTCCATTCATAACTAATTCTGTTGCCATTACAGACCACAGCAGTCATTTAAGAGCCATCAAGCAATTTTTTATGTTGTTTTGCAGGTATCACGTGTTTCCCATCTGACTGTACAAGATACTCTTCTCCAAGGTATAAGTTATAAAGGCTCTCAGGCAGGAAAGGGTTGGCTGGATTCATTTGCCCCTCCTGGAAGAATTACAAGGGGAAGGGATAATTATGCAGAGATACTACACAATTATTAGTTTGCACCATAGTGTTTCCCAGCTGCTGGTCCTATAAAGTCCTCTGATGTTTCCTTAATTCTACACAAAACTGAGCCTCACTTACAATGAGTTTAGTATGGGAGACTAAGGGAACAAAATCATCTGCAAATGGAATTGGCTCAAGCTTTTATTATGGAACAATGCATGAAATACTCATCAGGCAGTAAGACAATGTGTGACATAAATGTTGTGTCTTCATGCAATACTGTTATTTAACCTAGAAAACTGTAATTAAGGATTACTCCAAAGCCCAGAAAGCTGGCTGGTATTCTGCAATTTTCTATTGACCTCTCCCTCCAAGTTCCTTTTGCTTCAGGCAGTCTAAACCTGTGCCCTTAAAAGGATACTCTAGGACTAATCAGTTGCCTCAGAAACTGTGGAAACCCTCAATTCAGTTATTCATGCATGCAATCATTGCTGGTAGAAAATACATGGTTGTTTATAACTCATCAAGCCACTTAGAGCAGGAAGTTCTGCTGTATCATGAGGATTGCACTGTACTGCAGAGAGGTTCTGCTCTACAGTGAGCACGTAGCCAATGCAGGAATAATCTTGTTCTCCTTAACACATGTGTATATATATATCAGTTGCAGGGTAGGCAAACCCATTAAATTGGATGCACCAGGTCCCTGTTGCAGTGTGGGAGGCAATGAGGATTCAACCAGTGTTCAAGGAATTGTTCTTCAGATCTCTGCTCCAAGCGCTGGAGGTAAAGCATATACTCCTATTTAAAGAAAAGAAAAGGTAATTTAATTGTGTAATCATTCAATTCTAATGTCAGGTCAAAGACCCAGGATAATTCTACAGATGACTTAAGAGCCATTAATTTATTCCTTAAAATAATCAAACATAGTAAAATTGTGTTGCTAGTCAGCTTGCCCCAGCCTAGCAATATTTAATGAATGACATCATCTCCAGATCAGTAAAGGTGTTGAGCAAGAATTATACAACAATATTCATAAATTAGGAATTCTGTATACATATTTCTTATTTGCATATCAACACAGAAGCCTTTGTTGGGCCTGAGGGTACAAAGGATTCTCACAAATAGGTCTGTTACAGCCCCTTTTGAAAACTGGTTCCTGCTGTTTAAAGAACATTAACCCCTTGCAGGATCATGTGGCAGGACTGAAGGGTTCTAGTAGGTAGCACACATCAGTGCTGACTGGTGATAAATAAAATAATGTGAATTTCCCATATCAATTTATAGAGAGAGGATTTGGTTTCAACAACAAATTTATCAAAGTGGGCTGTGTGCCAAAAACTTGACCTCCATCAAGTTCAAAATTTACTTTCAAAAAGTTCCAGTCCTAGTGGGCTCATGAGCTTTGTGGAGACCATATACATTTATTCAAAATAATCCCCCATTGCTTTGCACAGGGGGCACTGTTGGAATGGAAGCTGTAGCCTAAACCCTTTGCACTGGCCAAGTATTCCAGCATCAGGATTCTGCCTTTCACTGGGCTCTCTCTCCTCACAGCACTGAGAGACCTGGCTCAGATCTCTGGGGCCAGACTGCCTTAGGAACTGGCACAGATCAGAGCTATGTGACTGAGAAGATGCCACAGTATCAAAAGCAGGCCCTCAATCAAAGTAAGTTTAAAACATGCTGATAACATAAATTACATTTTTTAATAATTAAAGGGGGCTGATCTTTCTGTCTGTAACTGAACAGGTTTTTGACTCAAGCAGCCCTGTGGAAGTCAAAGAGTGTCACAAAGAATTGCAAATCACATTCCCCAGCTCAGCATGATCTGGCCCAGTACAAACAGCTTTTGCTTAAAACAGATGAAGAGAGATGGGTTCATCCCAGCATTCATTTCATTCTGCTACAAAGCATCCATACAAAATCAGTTTTTCTCCTTGAGTCCTTGTGCACAAGCTGTGCACAGGGATGCACCAGCCATGCACCCTCATTCACGTGGAAAATCTCCACGTTCCACAAGGCAATGAGGATTGTTTTTTTTCATCAGATGTTTCCTTTTCTACTGAAAACCTTGACATTTAGGGAGCAAAACACATACTCTTATGTTTGGATTTTCTTACAGAGGGTCAGCTTTGCTTTCTAGATAAAAGAATAAAAGAAAATAAATAAAAGAAGGTTGGAATTTCTGAAAAAGTGTTTGTTCCTAACTGTGGTAGGACAGTTAGGAAAGTTGCAAAGACAGAGCAGCAGAGTCAGAAATCCAACATCTCTTTAGCCCTGAATCCCTCCCCTCCCCACACACAGCATCATAGAATTCATCAGGATCCCCAAGTCCAACTCCCTGCTCCTCAAGGACCACCTAAAACTAAACTAGTTTAGTCTAGACAACATTGCATGCATGCATGTAGCTTCTTGCCCTACAGGAATTACCTGAATCCAACTGTTCTGCTGCTTCATTTATTCTATATTCAATATTTGTTATATTTACCACATACCCTTAATGGTGGTGGTATATTAAGCGTAAGCACAGATGGGAGCTGTATTCTTGTTAATTTGCAAAAACTACAAGGCTCATTTAACAGCTTACAAACCAACCCAGTCCTGACTGTTGTGGGCAGCAGTGCAGCCTTCTGGTTTTTGGCTGTGCTGTGCAATTTTCAGTGTACGAGGTTGTCAACAAGCACAGAGCAATATCCTTGTGACAACTTTGGTGTGTCGTGGTGTCCCCTTTGACAAACAGTGTGTTCACCCAGTGTTGGGCAGGTGGATTCTTTTTGGCTGGTGTATATTACCCACTGGAAAGGGAAAACCAGGAGCTGTTTCTACAATCCTGCAAGGCACGTAGTACTCTTCGTGTCCTATGGAGTCCAGAAGCGTTCAGCACCTTGCTAAACTGAGTCCCCTGTGCTCGTCACATGCACAATCTTTGTGTTTGTGGCTTCTGTGGGCTTTGCCTCTTCAGAATCATGTAATTTTAGCTCAGTTTATTTACCTTGGAAAGAAATAGGCAGTAGTTTTAAAACACCGTAAGTACCCTTGAGAAGTGCAGGATTATGTGTTAGGTCTTGTCAAAGCAAGGAAAACAGAAGGCTCTTTAATTCTTTTTCTTTTGTTGTAATAGGGTTCAGAAAGAAATAAATGTAGATATTGCATGCAAACCCAAAGCTGTTGCATTAAGCCAGCAACTAAAAACTCTTACAATATCATAAAAAAACATCCTATCTGTAGGATCCATAAGTAAGTCAATGAAAGTAAGTGATTTTTAAAGCTGGTTGAGAACTACCTCAGTCTCCATGCTGACTACTGACACCTCCATCTCCTCTCTGCCTGCAGTATGGATGTACAGAACATACTGTAAGCAGAAGACACTTCCTGTTACTTAGGTTTTCAGGAACAAGCTGATGAAATCCATATCTCTATAATTCAAAAGCCACATTGTTCTCAATAATTTGACTGGTATTTTTGAACCATGATAAATAATCTCCTCATTCTTCAAGTGAACATTTCCTGAGCAATACTCAGCACTCAAAGAATGCTTTTAACTGTAATTTGAAAGAATTTAAAGGGTTTTTTAATATTTCATGGAAGAATTCAGCTGCTTTAAAGGGTGATATTCATAACATATAGCCTGGAAGCAATAGAAATTTAATACTAAACATAAATGTTTTGGGGGTTTGGTGTTGGGTTTTTTTAGTTAATGTAATTTAATAGTAAATATCATAAATCACCCTCATTGGTTCATCAGGGAAACCAGCTTTTCTCGGTCTCTCTTCACGACGAGTCCTCAGCATCTGTTTGGCATCTTTTTCAGACAAAATTGGTGAAGTGTCTAAAATGAGAACAGCAGAAATTAGTTCTGAAATTATCTGTCACTTGTGAAATGAAATGTCTCCAAACCTGATTTTTTTTTCTATATACAAAGTGTTCTTTCATTACAGCCCCTTCCCAGCAGATATTGCATTCCAAGAGAAAGAAGTGGAATTTTAAATCATTTTTATTCTTGTGTTTTCTCTTGTTCTACTAGTATGAAGCAAAGTCCGCATAGTCATGTTAGTGTAAAATGAGAAAATATAACACCACCAGCAAACCACTGGCATTAGTTGCTCTTCCAACTCTTTGTTCTTTTCTGTGTTGCTTTACAGGATTTTTTTCAAAGTAGTGAGTTAGATACATTGCAAAGAAGAGATTGCATTGAACATTCTACTTGCAGGACCTTGGCAAAATAATATTAAAATAGTAAGCAAGTATAACTAAAATTTGGGGGTTTATAAGAAATGACTACAGTGTGGCAATGAAGAGAGTTGAATATCAAATACAACATCATGATTATTAAAAATCAAATCATGGAAAGCCTGAAATATAAAAATAGTTGAGTGTTACATATATGAAAATACATGAAAAATTAATACTAAAATAGAAGGTTGACAAACTAATACAGCTTATATGCTCTGCAGCTCTACACACTTATGGAGGTTTGTTGATATAAACTCCTACCTGTAACAGTGGTCAGCAGGACCAAAAAGGAGACAAACACAAGAAACTTCTTCATTTTGACTCTGCTTTCTCTCAGTCTGTCCCAAAATGAGCAACCCTGACCGAGGCATTTGCCTATTTGAAGGAGCTACGTCAGTCACAAATGTTTGTTTATGCTTTAATTTGAGTGATAGTATGATTCTGAAGACATCTGGTCTGAAGGTTTGAATTAGTCTATTATCTGCTCACACATTCTCTGCATAACTCTTTTCCTGAGGGAAAGAAAATAGAAGGCTTTTTTTTCCACCTCAGGCTTCAGAGCTACACTGGGTATTTTAAACTTGTGAAAATAAAACCTAACCCCTTATATTTAGCATGGCAAGCAAAGGTTTTTGGTGCCCAAGTTAAACTATTGTTTTTTAAAAGCCCAGTACTATTAATCTCAGAGGCAGCTGCAAAGGGGCCCCTCTTCAAAGAATTGTCTCTAACTTTGCTCCAGCAGAGAAGTACTTACTAAAGGGGTTTAACTCTAGCAAAGCAAACTTATGACTGCTGAGAAACATGGCAGTTTTCTATTAAATTAATAGATCCATACAAATGAAAACCCACGTAATTCTCCTCCTTTCAGGACAAGTTAGGAGAAAACAGTATTATAAAGCATACTAAGCACAGTGTTAAGTAAGGATGTAGGTTAGCAAATGTCACTGCAATCAGGTAGTTTTGGCCTTGAGAAATATGCAGAGGTCTTCTAGGCAGTGCCATGCTGAACACATAGTACCAGCATCATCAATTTGTAGGGCATGAAATGCATCCCTTCAACTATAACATATAAAATAGGTAGTCAGAGTTCGGCATTGGCTCTTATGTGAGGGAAGTGAGCAATTTCCTTGGAAACCTGAGAATTGCCCAGCTGTGCAGTATGTGCATTTTTCAGTGTTTTCAGATACCAAGACCCTGGAATCCGATCAATTTTGTATATGCTGTACAGATTTAAATCATTGCTCACTACACTGTTTTGAAAGTGCAAAAACCTGTAGTTTCTAATGGCAGCCACTATTTTTAGAGCTGCTCCAGGGGAAACAGTCAAACGTAATGACAGAACAAAATTATGAGGGGGAGGCATTTATGGTTGGGCAATAAAGCACAATCATGGGGAGGACAAATACGGGCACAAAGGCATGACTCGGGGGGACCTCACTGCTCTCTACAACAACGGGAAATGTAGTAGAGAGCTGGGGATCTGGCTCTTCTGCTGGGCCTACAGAGGAGCGGGGGGAACGGCCTCAAGATGAGACAGGGGAGATTCGGATTAAATATTTTCACTGTTTGGTGGAAATATTTGGGAAGGGCTGCCCAGGGAGGCGGTGGAGTCACCATCCCTGGCTGGGATGCTGGCTGGGCGCTGTGGTTCAGTGGTTACAGTGGCAGTGCCGGGTGTGCGGTCGGAGGGAGTGATCTTAAAGGCTTCTTCCAGCTTTAATGACTCCATGATTCTAGGGCAGAACAAAATTATGGGGGAAAACATTTATGGTTGGGCAATAAAGGCACGAACACGGCGGTCACTCGGCCGCAAGACAGCGCGGCCTTCGCCTCGGGTCTGGGACCGGCGGAGCCGGAGCCGGAGCCGGAGCCGGAGCCGCTCCGCCAGGCTCTGTCGCGGCCGCTGAGCGCCGCTGGCGACATCCCCGCTGTCGCGACAGACGGGGGCGGGCGGCGCCCGTCTCCTGGCAACGGCCCCGCGCCGCTTCCGCTTCCGCCGCCCCGCGCATCCCGCGGTGCCGCTCCGAGCCCGCCGTGCGCCCCGGCCCCGGCTCCGCCGGCAGCTCCCGGGCGGGCCGAGGGCCGGAGCTCGCTGTCCGCTCCGCCCCGTGTGCCCCGCGGAGGGGCCCGGGGCAGCGGCGAGGGACAGCCGGGACCGCGCCCTCCCGGCGCCGGGGGCAGCGGGCGGGAGGAGCTCGGCGGCGGCCGGCGCTGCGCAAGGCCCGGGCGGGCGGCGGAGGAGCCCCGGCCGGAACCCTGCCGTCGGCCCGATGTGGCGTAGGTCGGTGCCGAGCCCCGAGGAGGGATTAGAAGATGGTGCGCGAAGCTGCGCCTTGGCTCCCTGAGCGAAGGGGCCGCTCCGGGGCTCGCCCCGCCGCCTGCCCGAGGGGTGCGAGGGGTTAGGCCGGGGAGGCGCAGGGATGGAGGGCTCGGACGATGCCTCCTGGGCCGTGGCCGACTGGCGCCTGGCCGTGTGGACCCTGTTCTCCGTGCTCCTGCCCGTGCTCATCACGGCGTGGTGCAGCTTCCAGCGGTCCCGGCGGCAGCTGCTGATCCGGGACATCTTCCGCAAGAGCGAGCACGACTGGCGCTACACGGACCTCTTCGGGCAGCCCTCGTACTGCTGCGTGTGCGCCCAGCACATCCTGCGCGGCGCCTTCTGCGACTGCTGCGGGCTGCGCGTCTGCGAGAGCTGCCTTAAGAAAGCGGACCAGCTCTTCCTCTGCAAGGAGATCATGATGAGGAGCACCGCGGGAGCCCCCAGCTCCATGCCGCACCACTGGATCAGGGGCAATGTCCCTCTCTGCAGCTGCTGCATCGTCTGCAAACAGCAGTGCGGCACGCAGCCCAAGCTCTGCGACTATAGGTACTGCAGGGCAGTCTGGCTGTAGGAGCGCGTCCAGTGCCGTGTCAGTGTTGTGTTTTCCACAGGGTTGCTGGGAGACCACACCCCAAAGGAGATCCTGCAGTAGTCAGATAAGATACTGCTAAAAAAAAAAACAACAACTTCAAAGAACCTAAAATTAAAAATTAAAATAGATGCTTGTGAGTCATAGATTGAGAGTGTGGCATTGCATCTCACGTCCACTCGTTCTCTTAATTGCATTACTCCAGCATGATGTGCAGGCTGCTGTATAATTACATACAAGGGACTCTCAGCGTCCAAGGGAGTTTGTATTTTGGGGGATGACAGATTAATAAGTTTCTAGTAAATTTGTCAGTTGTACAGTGGATAGCCTGAACAATTTGACTGGCACAGCTCACAGTTCAGAGAACCAATGTGTGCATCTCAAAATTGGCCCCTGCTCAGTATAAGGAGAACAATGTCCTGTAGAGGTTTCAAGTGTATTCTTAAGGGTGCTCAAAAAAGCTAAAGAGAAGTTTTATAAGCTACTGCTTATTGTTAAGGGTTTTAGTAAGAGTGTTTTAAAAACACGATGAACCATTAAATGGACTTACACTGTCATTAGTAAGGTTGCTTGCAAAGTTGTGCCAAAATGCACAAATGCAGTGATAGGTGCCCTGGTGTGTTACTTCAGCCTACTCAAACGGTATAATCTTCTTAGCCTAGATTCTGACAGCTTTTGCTTTGCTTCTGTGTGGTAGTGGCAAAAAGCTTTGTAAGTACTACAGAGTAAAAGAGTACATTATTAGAAACAAAACCTTGAGAGTGTGTGTAGGAGAGGAAGGAAGGGCAGGAATTTAGAGGCAAAGGGGAAAGGAAGAAGAGGAAAAGAGAGTCACAGTGTAGGGCAAGTGTCATTGCTTCTCTAGCTGAGTGTTGGATTAGTCAGGAGGACTCCAAAAATAGCTTTCCCAGCTGCTTAAATCAAAGCTTTGGATGTAGCAAACGGGGATTAACATTCTGCAGAGGCTGGAAGTGGATATTGCAGTATTTCCTCTTGTTCTAGTCTGTTTTCCAGAACAGCTTTTAGAATAGGTCATAAAGCAAAGCAGTTTTGCATAACTAAATCACATCAGCCTTGTACAGTTCAGTGTAACCTTTTAGGTTTCAGGCTTAAAGGGATAGTATCAATCTTAAGGAATGCATTAATTCATGACTAGAAACATTTATTCAATTGAGGTCCACTGTTTTTTATCTGTGCTCTTTAAGGATGGACAGGAGTTCAGGTTCTTTTACAGCCTTTCAGTGTAACTGTTAAGATTGCAAACAGGAGCATATTTAAAGCACCTATTTTTTTTTAATTAAAAATAACTGAATTAATTTAAAACTGTTGAATTTTTTTCCTAGCAGAATTCAAATACTTTCCTAAACCTGCAAGCAAATGATCAATTTATGTAATTTTCTATAGCCAATACATAGGGTTCCAGGGAATGCATGGTTCTCCCTGTAATACTTATAATGGTGCATGTAAACATAAACATTTTGACAAAAGTCTAAAATAAATGAGCAAAATGCATGTGCCCATTTGACAATTCTTTTCATGTTTTTTGGTCTTTTTTTCTAGATGTGTGTGGTGTCAGTACATTGTGCATGATGAATGCATGGTGGATTCTTTGAGGACTGAGGATTGTACATTTGGAGAATTCAAAGACTTAATTATTCCACCCTACTATTTGTCTGCAATTAACCAGATGCGTAAAGAGAAAAGAACCAGTTATGAAAAGGTAATGACCTACTGTTTCTTTGGTTTAGAATATACCAAAAAACCCAACCAAATAAACCCACAGAGAGACCTTGAAATTTTGAACTCAATGCATTGTCATATTAGCAACTGTCAGGTAAATGTTTCAAGATATATTAAGTACTTGCTGTGTTAATTCAGAGGTGTTTGTCATTTTACTAATCTGGTTGTTGAAGCATAAGCAGATGTGGATTTTTTATTCCAAAATACTGAAATTTGTCTACCTTACTTCTTTGAATGTTTTGTGAGTTTTTTACTACCTTGTTCATAACATTGTAGTATTTGTTGTCCTGGGCACTGCAGAATCTTCAGCCTTGGTGTTCAGAAGTATTTGTTTGTGTTTTGGCTACTTCAGACTAACTGGTAATATTTCAGCACTTGCAGGGGATAGGGCTCGGAGCAAGGCTGCAAATATTTTCAGACATGCAGTTTTTGTGTGACTGACTGTTTCTGCCTTTTGCAGGTGGTCCCTTACTGCAGGATGCCAGTGATGGTGCTGGCTAATACTCGCAGTGGAAACAACATGGGTGAAATTTTACTAGGAGAATTTAAAATGCTGCTGAACCCTGTTCAGGTATTTACAGTGCAAAGCCACCATAATAAAGCCAAGGTTTAGATTAGGATAGATAGCACTTTGCTTATGCAATGGCAATAGGATCTTGTGTGGAAG